GCTGCGCTCACTTGTGAGAGATCTTTTCAACACTCGAATATAAATTTGGTATCTTTGCGCGCCCATGTAATATCCTCTATGTATGCCATATTATTATTAAATTTATTATTATTGTTATTATTTTTGTAGGAGTGGTTTTATCAATCTGGATAAGCCAGCAAATCCCTCTTCACATGAGGTAAATACTTGATAAACTGGAATATTTAGAGGGTAGAAATATTAAATAAAAGAAGATTTTGCCAAAGTGTGAAGTTGCAGTGTTTTGGCCAAACATGGAGAATTTTCCAAAACATTATTATATTATATTCTTATTCTTATTAATCATGGGTCTTGGATTATTTTCCCTGCTTCTGACTTTTCAATGTCTATATTTGTTTCTACTTACAACTTTACACAAAATGCACATGATACAAATATATCTTCATTAAGAAAGAAAAGGGTGCAGGTGACATATATAGGGGTAAAACATTAGCCTTGGGTACAAAGGATTGCCTAACTTGTCATTAACCCCTGTAGACAGTAAACTATATTTTAAAATTGAGTCTGTCTGTTTTTTCACTTCCTTACCAAGGGTTTTTCCTAGGTACTCTGGTTTTACTGCTCTTTATAAGTTTACAAGTGATCTGGCAGTTATGAGCATGAGGTTGTCCCGGTTTCATAATTTTCTTTGCCAATTTCAGGTAGTAGCATGGTTGAAAAGAATCCTGCGTGTAGAGAAAACAGGACATAGTGGAACTCTTGATCCTAAAGTCACAGGCTGTCTGATTGTCTGTATTGACAGAGCTACAAGACTTGTCAAATCACAGCAAGGAGCAGGTAACCTACAATCCTAGATATTTGATTGTCCGGGTGTGTTGGTGTGACTGCTGTTGGTGGTGAATGACGTTTCGACAACCTGAGTGGATGTCATATTCAGAGTCCAGTGAGAAAAGGAAAAAGAGAAGATAAGAGAAGTGTTGGAAGCGTAGTGGTTTACAGCTTCTCTCATGTTCTCTCACCATTCCAAGTGTCTAGATTAGAGCATCTAAAACAGAAAACTGTTTTATTTCTAATTTATAAAATAATAAAGAAACTTATGTTCTCTAGCATTCAAGATATACATGTATTCATCTAAAATGGCATAGTTTTCGAAATCATTACACTCATTTTATGATTGTGTGTGTTCAAAAGTCTGAGGGTCTTTCCTAACCGTGCTTGCTGCAGGTATTAGAATTTGTACTATTCATCTCAGAGATTTTCTATTCAGTTTGATAATTCCAGTCCCTATATTGCAAAAAGTTTGTCCAAAATTCATTACATTACACATTACATTTCAGATATATTCCGCACCTCTTAAAAAATTTACAAATATTTTGCAAAAAAATAGTATATATAAATATAGAAATCAGGTGCTAATATATATATATATATCTCAAAGTAGTTTTAACTATCAATTATTAACCAAAGTCATGTACCTCAGTATAGTCAAATTATTTCACATCATAACGGCCATTGGCAATTCAAGGTGTGAGTCCTGCAAATCATTGAAATCTTGAATATACTTTTTTGGTCCAATTTTGCGTATTATTATGATCCCAGTCTTAACTAGCTGTTTCAGGTACATATTTATGCTGATGTTTTTATTTATATCTTATCTAGGAAAGGAATATGTGTGTGTGGTAAGACTTCATAGTGCAATAGAAGGTCAGGAGGAATTAGCTAGGGTAAGGCTGCAGTTTTTTCTGATATTTGAATAAAATTTTAGTTATAAGTTTTTTTTATCAAACAAACTTCTTTAAGCCTATACAGGTGAAGTAACAAAGGAATCAGTGGTATATTTTACTGATAAATGCTTGCGACTATTTTTACAGACCCTAGAGACTTTAACTGGAGCCCTCTTCCAAAGACCACCTCTGATATCTGCTGTTAAAAGACAACTGAGGATCAGAACCATTTATGAAAGCAAACTTCTTGAGTTTGACAAAGATCGACATTTAGGTGCGATAAACTTTCTTTGCTTCCAGAGTACGACTTGAGTGTATTATTTTAAAATTCCAATTTCAGACTAAATGTCATTTTCTTGAGAATAAGGACCTTTGCTTGAGTTGTATCTATATTTTCGTGTCTTCACATGCTCTGACAACCATTGAACAAAGAAATCATATTCAAGGGAATGACTCATGGTCTGAAATAAGTAAACATTACTCACAAGCTGAAAGGGTCTGTTGTTTTTGAAATGAAATATGTAGGAAGTCCTGACACTTCTTGTATTTTGGACTCAGTATTGCATTTTGGTGATTTCAGGTGTGTTCTGGGTGAGCTGCGAAGCTGGTACCTACATCAGGACTCTCTGTGTTCATATTGGTTTTCTTCTGGGTATTGGAGCTCACATGCAAGAATTGAGAAGAGTCAGATCTGGCATTCAGTCTGAAAATGTAAGCAGCTTGTTTCAGTTGACCTGCTGATAAATTGTGCATGGGTGACCAAAGTGCATTGACATTGCACTGCCTCTAGTCATTCCAGCTCAATTCAGGCTTTTCCTCTTGCTTGTCTGGTTTCTACAGTAGCTACTGTATCTTACTTGTTCTGCACACATACTGCACAATATTGCAGGGCTAAAAATACAAGCTTGTCAGCAGAAATGTCCTTTATGTTATTTCAAGACTTTTTCATAAGCGTTACTGTATCTCTGGAGGTGCAATGTTTATGAAATAACTTTGTATGATTTAACCATTATTTGCTGAAGGACATCAAGTTATTATTGGTGAATTGGTGAGCCACAGGTCTTCAAGATTTTTRCCATAATCACTGTCTCAGAGCACGCAAAACTTTATATTCAAGTCTAAAATTTTACTAAATTGGTAAACTTATTTCCTCTTGTTTAGGAGAAGATGTCCACTATGCACGACATCCTTGATGCACAGTACCTATATGATAACTCAAGAGATGGTACGTTTTATGACAGTATATCGTACACATAAAAAAATGAATTAAAATGCAGTACTTCCAAATCCCTGATACATTATCTTGTCCATTTTTAGAGACATACTTGCGCAGATGTATTCAGCCATTAGAAGCCTTGTTAACTTCACATAAACGATTGGTTGTAAAGGATAGTGCTGTAAGTACTACTAAGTCTGCTGTTGTTTTTTTCTCTCGCTCCCCTTTTTATTCTTTTTATTCTTATTTTCTCTTCTCTTTCTTTTCGTCTTTTCCCACCTCTCCTGAGTTACCCAAAATTATTATCACTTTTTTCTCTTATCCCAGCTTCTTCTATTCTCTCTTCCATCTCTTCTCTCTTCTGTGTCTTCTCTCTTTCGTGTCTTCTATCTTCTGTCCCCTGATTTAACTATCTTTATTATTACTTCTTTTCATTCCACTTTTCTCTTTTCTCTTTCCTCTCTGCTTTCTTCTCTGTCCTCTGTCCCCCCTCTCCAGATGTAACCCTTATTATCATCACCTCGTTATGTTATTTCTAATGTATTTATCTTATTTCTTTCCAGGTCAATGCTATTTGTTATGGTGCCAAGCTGATGATTCCTGGTCTACTGCGATATGAATCTGGTATTGAAATGAACGAACAGATTGTGATCATGACCACCAAAGGCGAGGCCATTGCATTAGGTAAAATAAAATCGAATAAATTGTTCTTGTTTTAATAGGGTAGCACTCAGTAGCCAGTGGCTAACAAACCTGTGGCCCCATTCCATGATCGAAGTGGAATTTAGAAGTTGATATTTGAGGAGGGAGGAAAATCGGAGGACCTGTAGAAAAACCCTCGAAGGACAGGAGAGAACCAACAAACAACTCTACTCACATACGACACTTAGCTTGGCGGCACTTGAATCCGGGTCGCATTCATAAGAGGCAAGCCCTCGGAAGAACGCGGAGAAGAACTGACAAAACACGAAGAGAGCCAACAAGCAACCCTACTCACATATAGGATCTAATACATGACCACCACCCTTCACTCCATCCTTGCTACCTAACACACTTGGCCCCCTTGCTTATTTTATACAGCTTACCATCATTTTTGTGAAATATTTTCAAAACGTAATTTCTCAATCTATCAGGTATAGCACTGATGACTACAGCTGTGATGTCAACATGTGATCACGGAGTTGTTGCTAAAATCAAACGTGTTATAATGGAGAGAGACACGTATCCACGAAAATGGGGTCTTGGCCCAAAGGTATGTTGATATTATACTTTCCTTCTCCTTCTCAAACATGCATGAAAAGATGTGGGCCTTAGGTCAATGATCAAAATTATAAATAGGATGGAAATTCTGCGATGCAGAGTAGAAAAGTATTTATTCGTGAAAATCTTGTTTTGTTTAGAAAGAAAATGAGATACAATGAGGCGGTATTGAAAATACGTCCCAAGACGTTGGAATCCTAAATAACCTTTCTAAACTGGACATTAAAGCTAACCTTAACCCTGACACTATTTAAAGATTTGAAAATGTGGGCAATAAAAAAAATTAAAACGGGCTTCTGCTTTGTGCAACAAAGAAAAGTTATTGCGCACTGACTAGCGATACTTACAGCACGATGATGTAAAGTCTTTGGTATTGTGTTGGCAAGCTAGCGATGAGTTTCTCCATTTACTTGGGAGTATTAACTCGGGTTTTTCTTTTCCATACTCAGGCTTTGAAAAAGAAACAATTGATCCTGGAAGGTAAACTGGACAAGTTTGGTAAACCAAATGAAAAGACACCCGAAGCGTGGAATGCAGAACACCCTGATCTAAGGTAAAATAGATGGTGAAGATTGACGCTTTTGGTTTACGTTTATGGCTAGAGCTGAGTCAAAGCAATCAAGGGTAACTATGTGCCATTCTGTCACGGGGTTGAGGAGCAGCGAGAAGTGGTATTTAGGGAAGAATGGGTAAGGTTTGGAACGGGTCAGATTGTGATAGGCTATTTGTCATTGAGGTTGAGGAAAAGACTAGGTCGAGTTGGCATTGCAGTGCATTGTGGGACTGTTTTAGGGGACAAATTTCAATAGACCCGTTTCGAATTCCAAATTACCGCTGTGTTTCTTGATTACAGACTCATTTGCACAGGGTTAGCCTCGAGTTTGTGCAGAATATTCACGTGTTCCAGTCAAGGTCCGTCGAGTTTCAAAGTATTTGTATTGTTGAAGTTGTGTATTCTTTACTTTACCGTTGGTATTTGTGAATATTTAAACACTGATACGAGGCTAACCCTGTGCAAATGAGTCTGTAATCAAGGAACACAGCGGTAATTTGGAATTCGAAACTGGTCTATTCAAGATAGCGTCTATTTGGTCCTCTACAACAGTGCATTGCGATGCCAACTCGACCAAGTCTTTTCACAAGAGAACAGCAATTGTAATTTTTTACCGATTGACTGACCCATTCATTGGATGCAAAACCTGAATCTGTTATTTTATCATTATTATACAGTAGTACTAAGAAAAAATCCAAATCCGAGGAAGCGCCAGAAACGCCAAGACAAGAACCAGCTGAAGAAGCTAAAAAGCGCAAAAGGTCAGAAGATGAAAGCTCTGAAGAAGCTGCTACTCCTTCGAAGAAGGAAAAGAAGAAAGCCAAGAAAGAGAAACGAAAATCTAAGGACAAAGAAGAAAGCGAGGTAAATGTCTAAAGAGAGTAGAGACCTTTAGCACGACGTTCTTGTTAGCACCGCAAACCTCATACTGCAGTACCACGTCAGGTGTTTTCCGTCAAACTTTCAACATTTAGCAAGGCCTCATATAGTAACGAAGTCGTTGCTGGAAGAGTGGCCATATTGAATTTCTTTGATGCCAGTGTTCCTCCGTGTTTGCAGGCGTTTTTCTGGGCTTGGTTCCTAGCGGTCAGCGGTAAACACGATGCTAAGGGTCTCTAAATGGCAGTGGCTTACAAACCTGTAGTCCTCATGATCGAATTGGAATTTAGGAAAATCGGAGAACTCGTAGAAGCACAGGAGAGAAACAACTCTACTTGCATAGTAAATTAATCTATCGACCTTTACCAGACTAACAAAAACTGTAGCACTTGTTGCATGACCAAACTGGAATTGGAAAGTTGATTTGGGGGGGGACCGGAGAACGTAGAGAAAAAACCTTCGAACCATAGAACAGACACCTTGGGGTTTTCGTTWTCCGTCAATCAAATTTCGAGGGGTCTCATAGGTTAAATTTTCCAACATCTTCCGAAATAGCTTTTTTTTGTTAACTACATGGTTATTCTTAACTCAGGAGGAAGAGAAAAAAGAAAAGAAGAAGAAAAAGAAGAAGAAGAAAGAGAAGGAGAAGACAAAAGAATCCGATAGTGACTCATCAGAGTAATGAACATGGTTTCTTTTTAGGATTTTTACATTATTTTTGTGAATACATTTTACAACCGAAACGCATTCTGTTGACTACKTTTTCATCATGTATCTGTGTAAAATGAAAGCGAATTAGAATTATTCTGATCTTTGTACGTCATAAGGTCATTGGTATTTCATCGTATATTGTTCTATTTGAGCGGTAGAACAATTCAAACACAACTATGTCACTCTTGTATGTAGTGCCTGCAAAATTGTTGAACTTACAGCATTGCGATCTTTGATGATATGAATGTAAATGTACGCGTACACTGTAAAACAAATCAAACCGATAAATTTGTTATTCTTTATCTTTAGTTTCTTATTATGAAAATAATTATCTGATATATTTAACTATGACATCACTAATTGTGTTATTGACAGTGGATTATCGAATGACGTCACCATTTATTTTTTGCTTGTGCGCAAAAACAGGGTGAGCAAAACTTTACCTTGGTAATTGCGCGCGCGTCATGTACTGAACTAAAAGCAAGCTGTTCATTGAGGAACTGATATAATGCAATAAGGAAACGGCAAATGAAGTTGCTTTTGACTGGCTATCACACATTTCTCTTTATCTCCATTAAAATTGAAAGCATAAACCGTTCTGAAAATCGGTTCTCAAATTAGTGCGTGGTCACTTAGTGATTAAGACGTCATTGATATAATTGATGACGTGAACATACGTCACAATGCATATTTTTTTTAAAACATTTAGCAAAGTGCGATAGAAGAAAAATGTTTTCCAATCACGTRTCATTGCTCCTAGAATCAAACATTTTCAGGTTCTGCTTTCCTCTACGTGAAAATTTTGAAACGTGGACAGCTATATTTTAAAAAAGGTTGAATTATTTCGTTGCATACCAAGCTTGGAAGAACGGTATTCAAATGCCAAACAATGTCAGCATAGAAAAATTAGGCATGAATGCGCAGACAAAGTTTGAGAAAATTTCATATTGTTGTAACCAGTTGAGTTGATAGCATTCACATCAACCATGCATAATGCAGTTCGCGCTGGTAAAGGATAGGTAATGTGATAGTAATAGGTAATTAAAGGAATGATATGTGGTTTGAGATGCGAAACATTTCACCCAAGTCGAAAAGGTATATTCCAGGCAAATGGACCACGAAAAAACATGTCCACAAGTGCGAAACAATTCAAACAAAACAAAAAACCACACTGTTACTAAAAGCACTATATTTTTTATATTTCTTTTTAAAATACATTTTTCATTTCCACAGTATTATATAGTTGTAAAAAGATATAACTAGCTAAAAACTAGTGTGAGCTGCGTCGGTGTTTCTAATGAAACAGTAAAAATGAAAAGGTAAATTATACACCGTGAAAAGATGAAAAAACTTACTTACTTTTTTCATCTTTTCACGSTGTATAATTTACCTTTTCATTTTTACTATTATATAGTTGGTGTCCTAAGTTACAATTCAAGAGATTTCTCAATTTTCTCCATTCTATAGTCTTTTTATGCACATTTGTTGGGCTTAGAATGATTCAAGCAAAACGAACTCAAAACTGCTGTCTAGATAAGAGTCGATATTTCAAGTCTGTTTTTACTTAAGGTGGGACGCAGCCACGCAAACGCAAATCCAGACGCAAGTATCAAGCATTTCCCAAGGCTCGTTCCCAGAGCCGTTATTTTTACTGCGCATGCTCGAAAAATTAAAGAAGAAATAACGGCTCTTAGAACGAGATTAAACATTTCCTTCATGACAACTGAGTCAGGAACCGAGTACAAAAAATCAATCAACCAATAATGACTAAATACAGAGACATTTCTTCTTTCTTAAAGATTCCTTTTTCGTGTTTCTGTGATCTCATTACGGTGCGACTACAACAACCAAGACCACCCAGACAAATTTTTATACAAATTAGCCAATCGCGACTGAGTATTGAAACAATAGAATCACAAATTTTCACATTTTTTCTTTTAAGAGCATAAATTTTTCTTACGTTTGTGCGTATGAACAGGAGTGAACAAGAAACAGGGGGGGATGTGGTCTTGGTTAATGTAGTCGCACTGTAATATTCATAAGCCGTCCCAGACCTAAATCCCAAAATCTACTAACTCTGACTGTTGCAAATTTGACAAGCAGAAACCAAAATTCCTCAAATTTGCAGGGTTTGGTGATTTTGTGGGTCACAGAAACAAGTTAAGGTCTCTTACATGACATGTAATTCCTAATACAGAATTGGATTCATTCAGCCGACTTCCCTGTCCAGTGACGTCACAGATCACATGGTGAAATGTCGTGTATAATCATATTCTATGGTTGGAATGACCGCTTGGACGAACTTTAGGAAAATCAATAGATACCTGATCAAATAGTTAAGGGAATAATAAGCAGTTATGATGAAGCAAGGAAAAAGCTCTCATATGCAAACAGCCACGATCTCTGGTTGGTCAGCACTTGCCTCTCCTATGGAGTACAGGATTCGACTGTTCCTGGAGTCCGCATCCCATGCGAGTTGGTCTTGCTTCCTCTGCAAAACCCAACCCACAGATTATTGGAATTTAGTGTGTTAAGCCGTGCCCTGACTTAGTTAGAGGGGTTTTTTCAGAACCAGTTCCATCTGTGAGTTAGCCGTGCTCTGACTTGGATCAGCTCAGACCTTTTTTCATAATATTCAATAACATTCGATCGAATTTGGTTGCTTGTTTTGCCGAGGATTGCATTAATACGTTATTAGGAGGTTCCATTTCACACTTTTTGTCACTATTTCGTAGGAAAGAAATTTTCTTATGCTAAGGGAGGGTAATTCAAGGTTACAATGAATTTTTCTGGATTTTAGCCGAATGATATCAATATCTTTTACAACAGACTGAACTAAGATATCATAAGTGTCCTGCAGTATTGTTTAGGATACATATGAACTCCAAGTTCTCCTCCTCCATCTGCCACTGTTTGAATAATCTTTTTCATGACGTCAGCATGCCTGTCAATCAAAAAAACGTCATCCAATAAGAGTCAAGGCACTATGCATTGATTGATTCACAACTATTAGATGGTAGACCGTTTTTACATACCGACAAGGGTGAACAGATGCCATGGTCATTGGTAAGTGAGGATGTGCTTCTATTGTTACTGTCTTCTTGGCATGATCCTGTGAATAAGAACCAAAATAAGCCCTTGTATTGAATAGTCCGAAGATATACACTCAATTGAAGAATCGTTGTCGGGTTCAGAAACATAGAACATAAAAGCTGAGAGCGAAATGGCACATGGGAAATGACATAATTATATTATAATTTATTCATTTGCTCAATCCATGCAGTCGGTTTAGAATGCCAAACGCATATTAAAAACAGTGGATGATGCCACAGGTCGTTGGTCACAGCATGCATCTAATTAACATACTTCCCATGTGCCATTTCGGTCTCAGCTTCTATATTCTATGTTTCTGAACCCAACAACGATTCTCCAGTTGAGTGTATCACATCATAACGAATGCAATCATCCCAAGGTCCCCTGGAGGAGAGTTTGCTGTAAGGAGTTGTTCATGAATTTGATATTATGTACTACTGATATTATACTATGATATTGTGTAACTACAGTCCCTAGAATAATCGAAATCTTATTTTTATGCCAGTAAGTAGTTATCACATACTACGAGGGGACTTTCATTGTAGAAATAGAAGATGGTGACATTTTGCATTTGACATTTTTTAAAAGCACTGGTAATCTCTTGARCTTTTAATTTCACTCGGTAAGCTAGGACCAACATGTTGTGTAGTCAGGGGTCCACAATCTACGTTCAAGTAAATAGTCCCTTTCATAGCTCCCTTGGCCATCTTCAAAGGTAGCCCTGCCTTTGCATTGAAGCGAGACGAATGGTGAGCTTGAAATGGTAGAGTCATGAATAGTTGTTCAAGGTATTAAAAAAGGGTCTCTATCATTGAAAGCTCACCATCTGTCTTGCTTTGATGCAAAGGCACAGCTACCCTTAAAGATGGCACAGGGAACTATGAAAGGGACTATTGGGTCACCGACAGGAATTCTGAGCACAGAAGTAGCTTTTTTGCATGCCGAGAGTTGTCATGAGAATCAAATCTGCATCCTAAAAACATTTTTCAACAAAGGTTTTTCTTGATTTGGATGAAGGAGATCATTAAACTAAAATTGATATTCCTTTCATCCAGGTTTGCAACAAGAGCTGTAAATAAATTAGTACCTGGCTCATGTCTTCATACATTTCTTCAACTGTTAATGGTTTTCGATTCTGAAAAAAAAAGGTTGGACAGTCAGTTAACCGTAGTACTTTGAAAAGGCTGTGTGAACTGTGGTGGCTTACTAACCTCATTGTATCCATAGAGCCATAGTCGTGGTGTCTGATAGTACTTGTCATATGTGATATACATATCATACGTTCTTGTCTGTAGAATACCTTCTCCGCTTGCCAACTCTGCAGAGCTAACTGCTCCTTCTGGTTTAGCGGCTGCAGCAGCTGGGATGGATAATGTGGCCTGGCGAGAGAAAAAAGGGGAAAACTTAAAACTGATTTGGCAGGTCATCATGACTGATGAATGACTGAGCACTAGTTTTCGCCCTCCAGAGCCAAGGGCTTATGTATTATATAAAAAAGAGAAGTCGAAAAAGATGTGAAGATCCTGAGGATGGAAACATGGACCTCTAGATCTAAAGGCTGAGCACTAACCATCTGAGCTCACGCCTGCTCTGTCRGTTAGGGTGCTAATGATCAATAATCATCCAATCAGATAATTTTTAACAATGACATTAAAAATAAAAATAATAAATACCTCATCATTTTCCAACATACCACTCTCTTCAAAAGCTGTTCAAAACAAACAACAGACACTAAATCATTAAAAAATGAATGAATATTTTGCACCAAATGAATTTTTAATAATACCTTCCATGTCTTCAGCTTCTTCATCTTCATCCTCATCATCATCATCATCTGCAACAGGTACGACTGGCTTTGAAGCCTGGAAAAGATGAAATTCAGCTATTTGATAGCATGGTAGACACATTTTGGAATCTTTAAGTTAAACAATGAAGGAACAAGAGCAAAGTTTAATAACTGATGCAGCTATGTGACTTGGGATACTTACAATTACTCATTATCAATTAATCTAAGTTACATACAAGGCTATAAATAATGATTGCTCAATGACTGTATATATATCAGACTGATCAACATGTCAACAGTCATTGTCACTCAGTCAACAGGACTGGCCCAAGAGGCATTTGGCCAGACAAGTGCCAATGTTGGTCAGACATTGATTATTGACTGGCCAATATAGTGATTAAACCCTGTTAAATGATTTTTGCTTTCAGAGCCCCAAATAGTGGATAACAGTGAGTCCCATCTAACAATCAATGTCTCCCAACACCCACAAACCATGGTATGCAAAACACTTAGATGTGGAGGAAGGAGACAGTGAGGGATAGAATAAATATATAAATACAGTCATGGCTAAAGGTATGCTTGGATATTTACAATACCTTATCAGAGTCCAGTTTCATTTCTGAAAACTGTTCCTGTACACCAGCACCAATCTTATTTCCACTTGGATCCACCTTGTGGTGAGTGTCAACCCATCCCCCATCTTCATCTTCTTCAACAATGGCTTCATTTTCTTCTTGGTGTTCCATTTGTTTACACCTCTTGTAACATGGTACTATGAACAATAAAAACCCAAAACATACTTTTTAAGCAAAGGTAAGGGTTAAGGCCTAAGGGTCCAAGGCCCCAACTTTAATATGTAAGAGTTATTTCTGAAATTTCTGAGTCAAAAAATTAAAAATAAGAATGAAAAAATTCAACGAAAAAGAATGCTTTGGAGGTCTAAAAATAAATAATACAAAAATGAAAAAACTTCCTGATATATATTTTTTAAATGTTATGTTTTCTAGTGAAGATTTTAAACTGGTATTCAAGCTAACAACAATGTTGAAGCTAGAATTTTTCAAATCGTAGGGCATTTTTATGGGCAGTTTTCATTTGAGATATCGAGAAACTTAATTCTAAGAAGCGATCACAAATGGTAGATTTATGAAGAAAAAATCGTAAGCAATTTCTTGAACACTTAAAGTGTTTCGTTGTTAAGTTGTTGATGCTATTATGTAATTCCGCATTTCTCCTAGCAAAATTTGCCATTGTTTCTGCATGACCTGGGGAAAAAATCCGCATAATTTATTTGAACTCTTTTACCACATTTTGTTAGAAGCCCTGTATAAATGTATGGCCAACACCTGAAGAGAAAAGGATACTTAACTTGAACCATGTGGCAGTCCAAAACATTAGGATGTTAGTTTCTTATTTATTCTAAAATTCACATTTTAAATTTTACTGCAACTAAATATACTAGCCAGTTAGATTACAGTGCAAAGAGCCTAACTGTACATGGCYACCCAACTTACCATGGGTGTTCACAGTTAGGTGGCCCATCACACTGTAAATGGCTTTTTTCAGCTAAGAGAAGTAAATTACCATTTCTCGTATAGATGTATTGCTTGTCCTTAGGTAAATATGGCTTCACTCTCGATTCTTCTCCCATTGACCTTCAGAAAAAAATACGAAAAATAGCTTAATAGAAAATATTTCACAATGGATTATTTATTTTTTCCTAATCTATGGTATTTAAAGTCCTGTCCTGTTATCTCAAATATGTCCTGGGTCCAGGGGAAAAGGTTTAAAATAACTGGAGTTTGAGATATCCAGGATAAAATTAGTGACCTAATATATACACAGGATGCAAGATAATGGGAAACATGAGAATCAGGATTTGAGATAACAGGACTTCAAGGCATGTAAATTTAAGTAAATGAAAAATGAAACTATATATAAAATTGAGGTCATTAATATCTCTCTATAAGCACTGGCTCTTGGTGTATAAAGAAAAAAGAATGTTAGCTCATATCAGGTTTTTAAATAATGGCTTGTCAGTTGCTGGTTATAATCACCAGCCAAATTAGTTTTAATACCTCATTTCTGGCTCAATTTACTGGCCAAAATGACTGGCAAGACAAAGCTTTGACCGTACAAGTTCCAATATTGGCCAAACATTATCCAATGAACAGTTGTTATTTCAAGGCTTGTAAACATATATAATACTAACCATTGCCATGTTGGGCAGTGATGAACAATGTGATCTCCAGCAGCAACAAACTTTAAAAAAAATCATATCTGGATGTGAAACTAGTGAAGCCTCAGAGATTCCTGAACTAGCTAGACTAACTGTTTTGAAACTATATATAACAGAGGGGAAAATTCAGAATTGGTCCAATTCAACTCCAGTTACATTGCTATTTCATAGTAAAACCCGTGTGCAACTGTGTTGCAAGGCAAATTTCAGAACGAATTGCACTGTGTAACACCCCCAACTTTGTAAAGCTTTTGCCACAAGAAAGTTTTAAGAAAAATAGAGCTGCTTAATTTCTACTTGTGCAACTGAAAATACTTGTGTTGCACACAAATTTGGGACAAAATTGGGCAATGTAACACCCTTCTTGAAACTTTCTTGGACATACCCCTGTCAGAGCTCAATATTTACAGGGAGCAGGCAACATTAACATGGCAGATGCAAGTGAATTAAAATTTGAAATCATGAAACTTTTCTCATAATGCTGTTGCACTCAGCTAAAAAATTCAACCTGTAACAGTACCTTTATATTAGACAACAACATGTTTAAAATCATATAATAAAAGTAGTTGTTGTTGTTAAGGAGAGGACAGTTGTGGCAATTAAGAATAAAGCACTTTGGTTTTTTTTAGCAAACTAGTTTCATTAATATTGAATTGTCTCGATCAAACCTTTCTCTTGAGAAATTAAGCCATCATATCACTACCTTCTAAAGGTATAGAGTAAGAAACACTTTCAAGTCGCACTACAGATTCGCTTGCTGTCTCCCTATTCTTTCTACTTTCAAATTCTTTTTTTTTAATTATTATTATTTTTATTTTATCTTATTTTTTATTTTTTATTTTTTCTTTATAATAAAACATATTCTATATATAACTGCGTAATCCATTTCGATAGCAAAATCTCACGTTTAGAAAGTGTAAGTGCAAAGTCTTAAACCATGGATCCAGGCATCGACAACAATTTCGGTTTAAATTCTACAGAGTTTCTTACCTCTTCGGGTGTAATGACTCCAGTTTCTTTAAATTTGGATTCCTAAAATAAAACATTAAAACATTGGTTAATTAATTAACCGGAAATAGAATCTTTGGAACATCGACTTTAAGATTGCTATTGTAGCGATCTCTTCACAGGAAATCTAGTTCACAGGCTAAAAAATACCTTTAGGATGGGAGTTAGGTACTCTGCAACTCCAAGTGCTGTTCCTTTAACCTTATTTATGACATCTTGCATGGCCATGATGTAAAAATACAGGAAAGAACGCAAACTGTACTTAAATCATATGATAAAAAGAACAAGGATGAACACGCATGCTTGGATGAATACCGCTGACTTGGAACAAACAGGGAGCCCAAAACAAGGTTGATTTAATAGAATGGTCTTTTTTCTTTTGACGATTTCTTTTTATCGATTTCTTTCTCATAATTTTGAAATTGCGCATTTAATATGAATGTCAATGTCAATAATTATTCTACTATTAATAAAAACTATCTAAATTATAACTTAAAAAAAGAAAGAAAGAAAAACGAAAAAGAAAAGTGAAAAGAAAGAAAGAAAAGAAAAGAAATCTAAGAAGGAAAAGGAAAAAATATTTAATTACAACATACTTAATCAACTGGGTATAAATAAACAATTCAGCCAGCTCCCGTCAGCAAAAAATATTATTAAATTAAGTATTATCCACCTCACCCTACCCCACTCAGTCCCATCCCCTCCCAACAAAGAAATTTACTGATCATCGACCGCCCGAAAGTTCACGTACAGCCTCGAGCTCCCTGTGGACTTTAGACACTTTGAGCCCAGTCGACCGATCATCGCGCGCGAGCTGCTAAGAAGTCCCGAGGTTAGGACTTTGTTTGAATTACAAAGAACATTTCCAAAGGTAAGAGCTCTTGTAGGAAAATAATTAATAAGTTACCAATTAAATCTAATGAAATTTTGGCGTATTTAATCTTCAATAATCGGGGGGAATCGTGAATATTTTTTTTACGCATGACTTGATTATAATGACGCATATATTTGAAACTCGAGCAATTGGTATTTTGAAGCGATAATGGCCATACACCTATCTATTTTCATTTTCATGAACGGAATTTTTGGGCTTTTATGTTTCCTGGCAAAAATACGAAGAAAAAAAAAACATCTTTAGCTCAGCTAGTTCATGATTCATATATTCCAATCTAAAAGGAAACTACGTTGTTCGGGTGTGAATCAGAAGTGCATAGTTGTCTACTCACACTTCAGATTTCCGAGATCTCAGACCGAAAATGTTTTTTAAAAGTGAACTCTAGATGTATATACCTGTATATACTTTGAGTTCCAGAGGTTTTATTTCGCAAACCGCATATGTCCCGTAAATATGACAGATAAAATTACATAGGAGCATCCTTTAGTAAGCGTATTTTAATCCACTGTGACCGTACGCAACGCGCGTGGAGCCGGCAAACGAAAAACGGAATGAAAGAAAAAAACGAGATAAAATTGTTGAATGAAGGATTTCAATGATTATCCAGCCTCATTATCTCTAAAAGCCCTTTTTACCGTTACATAATATGAGTGATGATATTTGTTTTTGATGAATACTTGATATGGCACGTTTTCTTGCACATTCAGTGAAGCCGTGATCATATTGCACGGATGCATGGGTATTGCGTTGATTTTAACACAATCCTAAGTTTTGCAGGCTTTATTTTGCTTGGAATTTTGCTTTGCTTTGAAGTTTGTTTTAAAGTTAGCTTTGCTTTACTTTGCTTAATAACTTATATGTTCTTCACGTGGGATCCTTGTGGTTTCTTGCGGAGCTCCCGCGCGTCACTTCCGTCCGTCCGTCCGTCCGTCCGTCCGTCCGTCCGTCCGTCCGTCCGTCCGTGTACACGACACAGGAATTCGCTTGATGTCAAAGCAAAACTACTCACAAAATGCGGCTCTCAAATGCACACAAAATATTGCTTTAGGGCAAGTTATAGACCAAAATCAATTAAAAAAATACTTTCATGTAGTCAAAGACGGAACAAGAAGTGTTCTTCAAGAATTCAGGTGTGTGTTCAGTTTAGCAAACTATATATTTTTTTTTTTTTTGACAAGTATTTTTCTCGACGAATTGACAAATCAAAGACTTTCTCTCAAAACTTTTAATGTTTCTATATATAAGCTTAAATTATTCTAATGCTGGAGGAAATATAACACGGAGAGCATATTACGACAGCAAAAATATTCGTCCTTTATTTAGCATTGTAAATCTTTAACAATTCGGTTGTTTTTAACCAACTATCGTATGTTTTTCGTTCACCTCCTATCGCGGGGTCTCATCGGCAAAACAAAGACTGAAGCTTTCATTCAATAATTTTATATCTTTCTACAGATAATTTATTTAATTATTGAATGAAATATAAATTTTTACCAAATATTCAACTGTTTATTAAGCTGTTTGAGCAAGTATGAATATAAAAATGAGCTTAACTGAATTTGTGTTATTGAAAGATGTTATTGTATAAAGACCTACTAGACTTTCACTTCAAAAAGCTAAAGAATATTCAAAAATATTTATAAACGCCAATTTACTGACAAAGAAATTAGTCATTTTGTATTTTGCATTGCCTTTTGCATTATTTTATATTTTGCCTCAGTTGTTCTTGTCAAGCTTAAATGAATGTAAGCTTTGTTTTTGGAGAACTGTAAAAGACGTAATTAAGTAAACCTTATTTTCTGCTCACCTTCACGAGTTTTCAATTCTGTTTTTTAGTCTTGATTTGTCCTAAATCTCCAGATTTTCGATTTCAATGAAAGACATCCGAGGTAAATTTCACTTAACTTGATATTGTATTGGATTATCTTTAGTTATCTTTYTTTTTTCTTTAAGTAAAAGAGATTCAAAGCCTAAAACTGTCGGCCTTGGAAAACTTTCTCGAAGCCTCTTCCAAGAACAAAACTAGCACCTGGGGCTGGGGGTGAGTTGTGTACAAAATTCCTGGGAGAGTATACTCGCGCAAAAAAACAAAAACAAAAACAAAAACAAAAAACCATGTAGTGCATTTCGATTCGATTTCATTGCATGGTTTTTATTATGGGAGAAATTATCTTCATCTCGAATAAAAAATAATTGAAGATTTTTTCAGTTTCATTCAAATTGTTCTCCCTGTGACTTCCGTATCGGGAGCTCCGCTTTTAGGCAGTGCCTAAATATATATATATATATTAACGTTTTGAAGGCCAGGTTTCTAAGTTAAATTCAAGATGGTGGAATACTTCAAGTGTTTCTTCGCTATAATGTCTGCAAGTTTATATATATATA